ATTGGTAAAATACTTACAGAAACCATTGGCAATGGACGTTTTATCAGACGTCGTAGTTTCGTCAATGTCAAAAACCTTGCTAGTCACCAGTTTCTTTTTTCTTTTGCGGGGTAGCATTTTTTAATTTGGTTCCAGAATTGTGTGGGTGAATTTATGTTTTCGCTGAACAGGGATCTATTGTAATTTGCTTTACTCCGTCTAATGTCTTGGGTGACGGTATTACGCAATTTCTTATACGCCAACCAGTCGGTAGTCATTTCACTTTTCCTTGCTTTCCTTAAAAAAAAGTCTCGTTCCTTTATTTTAGATTTGATTTCAGTAGTTAACCATGGGCAGTCGCGACCTCTTACCATTTTCTCCGTCATGGGCGCATGCTTGTCAATAATCGCTATTAAATGGTTCTTAAATGAGTTCCAAACATCGTTTATGTCTGAGAATCCGTTGAAGATGTTTTCCCAGGAACAGTTTCTGAGATCAGACTTATAACCCTCTTGAAAAATTTCTGGTATGAATCTTGCGAGGCTGGAATCTTCGGCAGTTCATTTTTCTTATTCTACCAACAAGGTCATGGTCACTGATTGAGTTTGGATAAACAATATGCTTCATCAAATGTTGATCATGAGTAGTTGCAACAATGTCAATTAGTGTTTTTGATTCAGGTGTTATTCTAGTCGGTTGATTTATCACTTGCTTTAAACCATTTAACTTCAGACAATTTTTGATGGACTTATGTTTAGATGGTAAAAGATAGTCGCAGTTTAAATCACCGGTTATTATCACTTCTTTCCCATCAGATACGGCGGTACTGACCATGTCATCGAACTTTGGTTCAAAGTTATTTATCAGGTGTTTAGATGAATCGGGTGGGCGATATAACGTGCAAAGTAGGATTGATTTTGATTTCTCAAAAAATACTTCGAGCCATAACGCCTCTATGCCATCAGTTTGTAGGTCAGGCCTTTCTTGCCAGTGAAGATCATTTCTGATGTAAATGCACACTCCGCCCCCGCTACCGGATGTCCGATCTTTTCTTATCATAACATAACCATCGACCGTGACCTCTTCGCTTGTTGTGTGATTATTTAAATGGCTTTCACTGATGCCTAGAATATGTAAATTTTTATGTGTTTCATGAAGTAGAAGGCGAATATGATTTATTTTGTTTGTCAAACCGTTCACGTTTTGATGGAAAATTTTCAGTTTTTTCGCCTTCATGAACTTGTTTAGGTCTTCATACCCAGACTCATCACAGCTAGTGGTGCTTTGGTCATTGTTTACATAGCACATAGAACAGTAAAGTTTCTTTATCTCGTTGTCGAATCTGTCGATAAGGCACTTAGTGTGGACTTGTATATTACAAATTGAACATATGCCAATACTTTGATTTTTCCGTATTGTTTTTGTACAGTTAATACACATGTGGGAAGGTCCAGGAAGAAGTTCTACATCACCTGCCAGAATGAGCAGGATTTGAAGGGCATACTTCGGTTGTAGATAAATACCTTTCTCATGTTGATAGTTCCATATCGACGCCGCATGATACGTGTCTTTGATGCTATTCGGCACTTCACCATTAAACGAGTAACAGCATGAATTCGAGTTTACCATAGACGGCTTCTTTACACTCAGAATTAAATAAACTACAACAGCTAGATTTAGCATGGCCTTGATTGGCATCATAAGCTTTAGAGTTAACATAGTGAATGTAAGTATATGTATCATATTGGGCAGAGTTTTGTGTGTTTTAAATATCAGTGGGCGTATATAATGCGTGTTTCTTAAAAACGAAGCAAAGTCATGAAGGATATCATATTTAAATGCATGGACTGGTGTTTTAAATATCAATGTGTTTTTATTAAGCGTGTTTCTTAACTCAGAGATCCCAAGGATAGTGCAAAGTGCATGGATTGTAACAAGATTGGGTATCTTCTTATAAAGATTTATTATGATACCCATTCGCGCGAAATAAGGACATGGCTGCAGGGGCGTAGGAACCGGCGGAGAGGGGGGCAGGCCCCCAAGTTTTGCCAAGTGCCCTTTTGCCGCAAGCAAAGTGCCCTTTTCTTGCGTGAAAAATATCATTAAGATTGCATTTTTTGCCCAAAGGGCACTTTTGAAAACTTGAATCTATGTTATTTCCGGGAAATTTTTTTCATTTCCGGGAAAAATATCATATATCCGGAAAATTTTTTGGTATATCCGGAAAATTTTTTTCATATTTAGGAAAAAATGAGGTATGTCCAGAAATTTTTTTTGGTATGTCCGGAAAATTTTTTTGAGATGTCCCCCCCCCCTAGCCAACATTTCCGGGAACAATTTTTTAGATGCTCTTTTTTATTCGAAAAGTGCCCCTCAAAGCTTGCCCCCCAACTTTTAGAAGCTTCCTACGCCCCTGCTTGGCTGGCTTGCAGTACAAGGTGATCGTATACATGGTGGGAATTGTTCATTAAATTAGGCACACTTGTGTGACTATATGTGATTAGTATGAACCTACTAGTAGGCTATCATATATCGTGCGTTCTGATTGGCTACGCTACTAGTAGGCTATTAGTGATAGCCTACTAGTAGCAACAAGCGGCGAAGGCCGCGAGAGTCAATGGCCGTTTTTAAGTATTAAAAGCTGCATTTAAAGGGAAAAAGCTTATCAAAATGGCCTAGTTTTGGTTCTGGATTACACACAAACAAAGAATCTTGGAAACTGCTGACACATGCGGTAAAATTTTTAAGTTTTCTCAACTTTGCTCG